TTCCCCAACGCCACTTCACATAGCATCAATAACCCAGTCTCAGCGCTTAGCGAAGCGAAGCAGTAGTTGGCACTCTTGGAGACCATATCAGCAAAGTACACTCCTTTGCCAAACATGTAACCCGTGACGGGCGCTTGTGGTGGGGCTATACGCAGTCCCTGAGTGAACCAAAATAGAAAATGGTATGAGCCTCTTCCGGCCGAGTGACCTCGGGTAGGATGCCAGCCCAGTTGGTCATCCTCGAACCGTGCCATAGTAGCATCCTATTGGGTTCTTTCGAGTAGGGCTCGAACCTCTCATTCTCTCCAAACCGATCAACTCGGAAGCAGTTAATGAGATGCAGCTTGTACGTAGTATGCGTTGGCCCGTGGGTATTAACAACGTATCTAGAAATTCAACTTCACCACCACCACCGACGGTGACCCAAGGTCCCTCAGGAAATAAACTACAGGCGAAAACTCACGGTCGGAAGGAATCGAATGCTTACGACTAGATCTTCCATATCAAGTGATCTCTCCCATGCTTCAATAGAAACAAGATGGCTCACGGAGAAATTTTCTACAAGGCTCTTAGAGGCTCAGACGATGTTCATTGTGATTACTATAGGTGGCGCACTTACTCCTCGATGAGTTGAAATTCCAACGAGGCCCGATCGACCATGCTGAGTCCACACTTCAGCTGATTGTATTTGGCTCGGATTGGATCACCACCCTTCACACTCGGGGCGGAGACAACGCTGTAAGAGAGCTCCAAGTCCATGAGGCTCTGAACCAGCTCAACCTAGAACCAACAGCTCCTAGGAGGCCCGACACGCCACCAGCACTAACCTTTTGATCGATGATATGCTCATTGTCAAGTACTGGCAGAGGCACACCCGGTGGAATGCTATGTGGCACCATAGTATAAAAGCGGTTGGTCAAGTCGGCTAATATAAGATTCCGTGGCCCACCTGATACATCAACTCCAACGCCCCCACAACACACTGAATGAGCCCTACGAGGTTGCATCAACTCCACTTGCAAGTCCTGTAGGACGCTGAATGCCGCAGTGAGGCCCTTCCGTGATATCCGACCCAAAGGCATCCTATCCGGATCAATGTCAAGATCTCGAAGCTCCTGCTCCATAGCATCGATGTCGCAAATAAGTGCGACC